CCTGGTGCCTCTGACAACTCGGTGTTGGGTGAATACATGTTTCCCTGCATTCTCCTCCTGCTGAGTCAGAAGCTGTGCTGAAGGCTTGGCCACAGCCGTTGAATGATGCTTAAGCCAGCGCAGGGCACAGAGCACAGGGCTGTTGTCATTGACTAAATGCAGTTTGCTGAACGCAAAAAGGAAAGCACTTTGCTGTGTTATGAGTGAGAGTCACCTGCCACCTAGAGCCTGCCAGCTCAGGATTTTGTCTCTGCCTCCCTGGAGAGGCTTCTTTTCGTAGCCATGGCCTTGCTAATGGTTCTCTCCTTGATGGAGTGGTTAGGTGGTTGTGGAAATGAAGGGCATCAGAACTTGGTAAACCCCTGACAACTGGCAGGCCCCAATCCCAAGTATGTGGACACCTGCCCCTCCTCCCAGAAGAATTTATTTCAGATGACAGCACTGAAGCTGCAGCTCAGGGAGAGGGACATGTCTGATCAGAGCACCTGGAAGCAAATGTAGGGGGAGGAAGAGAGAGTAGAGCACATCCTGGGCCACCAAGCCTTGAGGATAATATTCCCACTCAGAGCAGCCAATCCACAGAGAAGGCCATATGGCCTGTTCCACTATGAGACATGACATCCCTCAGTGACCGGTAGCCCTACAGGGGACAACACTGGAGACAGTGTGGGAATTGCATCTGATCTGATCCCACCACACAGAGGGAAAACACCAAGTTCATGCAACAGAACAGCAAGTGGAGCAGAGCAAAGAAGTCCTCAGAGAATACGATAAGTAGACTTTGGGGCCAGGGCTTCACATCCCATTAGATTCTATTGGAAAACACTCCTGAAGACCAACAAACAGTCCTTGAACTAACGACAGGCTTTTTTATTGTTGGTGCTGGTGTGTGGTTGTTGTTTTTTTTGTCATTGGCTTTTTGTTGTTGTTGATGTTTTGATTTCTTTTGTTGCTTGGTTTTGCTCTGTCTTGATTTTGTGCATATTATTATATACCCAGGTCTGTCTAAATAAGATAAACTGATCTGGAGGAGAAAACAACGTAACCGATGGTTCTGGGGGACATGGGACAGGGGAAGGTGGGGGGAAAGGAAGTGGTGTTAACAAACCCAGGGACAAAGGAACAACAAGTGATCCAAATTGGTGATGAGGAGAGTATAGGAGGCCCAGTAGGGCATGGAGTAGGGTAATGTAACCGAGAGGAATTACTGAAATCCAAATGAAGGCTGAGCATTATGGTGGGACAAGAGGAAAGTCAAAGGAAAGAGAGGAAAGAGCTAGGAGGCAAATGAGCATTTATAGATGTCTATATGAAGGCATGTACATATGTAAATATATTTATATATGAGTCTGGGGAAATAGAGCTATGTGTATATATTTCTAGGTTTAGTATTAAGGTGGCAGATGAACATTAGGCCTCCACTTAAGTCCTCCCCCAATACAAGAACACTTTGCTCTGTTAAACTGGCATTCCACGATGCTCACCTTCCGGACACGATCGCTGAAGACAAAGCGGGTGCATAAGCAAATGTGGTGAAGAAAGCTGTTGGTGCCTGGCTATCAAAAGATATAGTGTCTGGGGTCTTAAAGGCTTGAAGGTAAACAAGCAGCCATCTAGCTGAAAAGCAACAAAGCCCAAATGGAAGAAACACACCAGCCTGTGTGATCACGAGGTGTCGATGGGATCAGGTATCAGGGATCAAAGAACAAAAAAATTATATAATTGTAAATGAGGGGGAATATGGAGTGGAGATTCAAAGCCCATATGTAGGCAACTGGACATCTCCTTACCCAGACTAACACACTATGGATACTTTAAGAAAATACCACAAACTCGTGTAAGAACAAAACCTCAGTGTCCCACGATTATAGTGCCTGGTTAGACTTGTGGATTACACCTCTACCTTTGAAGCCTCTCTCCCAGTTTTGGGGAGCATCACATGGCATCCCTCCCTCTGTCTGTGTGTGTCTTGTCTTGTAAAAGTGCTTCCTGTCTTGAGTGATGCCACCCGTGGGCACTTTCAGGAGGCTGCAAAAGCAGAGACCTACACTTTATCTTGGATTCTATGATATAATGCAAGAGTTTTTCATTGTCAAGGGGGAACTGATGACTTGTTTTCTGAAAAGGGGACAGTAGGCCAAAAGAGTTTGGGAACCTATGTCCTTTAAGAACATCTACCATATAAGATTAGGACCCACCTTACTCTCATTTGACTTCATGTTAACATAACTGATAACCTTTTCAAAGACCAAAGAATCTGACATTCACAGATACAAGAGTTCAGGCTTCAATATATAAACATATATATTTCGGTGGGCTGGGGTAACCAATTCTATCCATGACAATGGAGGAGAATGCCATGGCGGCCCTATCTGGCCTCCTCTGGCTCCCAAGGCTACTTGTCACAAGGCAGAGGCCAGACATACCTCCACCCTCCACTCCCTTTTCACCCTGTTCTGATACCAACCATCCTTCCAGCGGTACTTTACTTCTATGTCTGGGATCTACACTTCATTGCAATGGCCACACAAAACTCACAGACAATGCTCATGGTTATGAGATTTATTAGGGAAGGTAACAGGCTACAATTCATATGAGAGATGCTCTGGATGCCGTTGTTCAGCCAGACAGTTTCTTTTCTGCTGTGCCTTCAGGCAGGTCTCTCTGTCCTTCTGGGGCAATGTTACAAAGCTATCTTGGGGCTGCCAATAAATGCCCAAGGGGCACGGCATTTGCCGTAAGTCTCAGCCTGAATGCATTCAGCTCCAGTTCTGTAGGTCAGAAAACCAGCTCTCCCAGTTGAGTACCCAGAGGCACCCCACTCCACAAGCGAGCCTCCTGCCCCAAAGCACATTCTTTTAGTTGCTCTGTGGGCTGGATAGTCCTCTCCTCTGTCTTATGCCCTGGTTTCTCATTCTGCTGCTGCTGCTGCTTCTGTGTCACTGCTCCGATGTCAAGGTGGTTCCCGCATCCAGGAAGGTTAGTGCTCAGGAATCTCAGGGGTCCAAAGGATATGCTCTGCTCCAGGTTCCTTGCTCTTGGTGATAGTGGGACCACCACTTTGCTGCCTCTGAAAAGGCTGATTTTATGGCCAAGAGGGTGGCAACCACAATGGACCCTGTTACAATCACTCATCCCTGAATCATCATCCAATCAGTGCCTTCCCTCACCTTCTTTCCCAGACTCCCCTGGACAACGAAGGTCGTTTGGTGGGAGTAACACAGGCTAAGGCTAGAAAATCGTATTGAATAATTTGATGCATTGCAACAATACAAAAAAAGAAGACATTTAATTATTTCACTTAACAAGTTGTTAAGTTATTTCCAGGACTGGCTTAGTGGTTCAAATTCCCTTTTTTGGACTCAGGTAATTTTTATGCTTTGACTCCACCCTCCTAATGAGCTGGGCTTTTGCCTCAGTATCCCACAGCGGCCATCTAGGGTTACATATCATATCCTATTGCTATATTCAAAGGCTGGAAGCAGGGATGTGGCCAAGGCAGTCAAAAAGCTCTCCAGTTGGGTAGATTTCTTGTCTGAATCCAAGAATATCCCAGGAGTCCCTGGACACTAGCTGACTTCTTTGTAAGCAGTGGTGTAGGGCACCAAATTGTACAGTCTCTTGAGAGTAGACAATCACATTTCCAGCAACTTTCCCCCTTGCTGGGTAATCATAGCCCCTGATGGAATTGGTCATGGTGGGAGTAGTCACCATGTGGAAAGTGGCAAATGCTATAAATCAGGCTTTCTTCCCCAGGGAGTGGTTTGCCAGCACACTGTTGTCCTTATTAGTCTTATTAGTCAGCACTGCATGAGATGGCCATGCCCAGTTTAAGGGAGTCATAGAGGTGATGATTTCTTTGTTGCAGACTCTCCCGAAGGGAAGTTGGCTTTCCTGGCAGAGGAGAAGCATAGGGAAATGGCATTAGGGGAAGCAACCAATGGTGTTGGCCCTTAGTGGCTTCCAATGGTGGGAACTTCCATTATTTCTTTCACTCGAAAGAATGTTTTCCAAATTGCGAGCAGGGAGAGGATGGTCTGAGCCCTATGGGTGGGGCAGTGAGAGCAAGGTTGTTCTTGACCCGTCCAATGGGAGCCTGGCATGGATGCTGCCTCTGCTCAGGTGTGTGCTGCTGTGGCTCAGAGACGGTCAACAGCCATTGTCTGGGAGGCTGAGAGTAGGATGATAACAGTCAGGCAGGAACCCCGAGGGGCTGGAGAAGGAGCAGGCGGTGCTAGAGGGTCGTAGAAGTGTTCCCTGAAGATGAAGCAACAAATGAAGGCCTCCCATCCTTGGCCAAGAAGTCCTTGCTGATCAGGCCATGACTGGCCATGATCCTGAGGAGTCTGTGTCGAAACTTCTGGCCAATGAAAGCATAGATGATGGGATTGAGGCAGCTGTGGAGGAAGCCCAGAATC